CGTACAGTAGGGTCGAAAGTACCGCTGCATTGCACACGCTACCCTTCAGAGCGAGAGTGATGTGGCCATAAGTGGCGATGGTTAGCAAAAGCGCCTCGAGCTTTTGCTACACGGTTCATGATCTCATCTCCAATCCAACGGGCGCTGATACAACTTCCCAGGTAGTTGAAATTTTGAACGACTTCAAGTTGATCCCCACCAGGGGTCAGCGTAGGAGGCGGCCCAGGTCAAGCTGGCAGGAAGGCATTGCACTTCGAGGATGCGAAGCAAAGCCCGAAGTGACGGACAGTCAGGGTTTATCTGTCCAGTGCAGTTTGGCATGTTAATGACCTGCCACAGATTAGGGCTATACCAGCAGCATAATCTAAGTCAAGATGTCGTTCTTCTGGAAGCAGATGCACACCTTCTAAGTCGTGTCTTATGAGCGCGATTCCCAGGATTTCGGCAATAGCGAAGTTGTAGAGTAAAGGTGACAGCGGGCATCCTTGTCTCACAAAGCTGGAGATATTAAAGGGCGACGACAGCTTGCCGTAAGCCATCACTCTGCTTGAGCTGCGCGCGTATAATGCTCGGATGAATGTTTACATATGTCTCAGGTACACCCTTGCTGAGTAGACAGTCCCAAAGTGCACGTCCATCCACCGAATGGAATACACCTTTGATATCGAGGAACACGACAACGGTGAGCCGCCAATATATGTGACGCAAAGTGATGTTGTCAATGCAGCCACGATCTCAAAAAAACCCGGCTTGCCCTTCATGAAAATGGCTTTCACGAGTGCCAGTTAGTCTGAAGGATGTGAGAGACAAGTAATTTGGAGGCGATGAAGATCAGACTAATTCCCCTATGGCTGCCGCATTCCGATCGTGAGCCTCCCTTGCAAATTGGGACTATGACGGAGCGGCTTCAGTCGGTTGGGACAGTTTCCTGCTCCCACAGTTTCACTACTAACCCGTGTAAATCATCAACAAGAGCAGAGCTCCAGCATTTGAAGAGGGCTGGAGGTAGATCATCTGGACTTGCGGGTTTATTTAACAGTAGTGCGATCTCACGTCCGGCTTCTGAGCCAGAGCGTGGATCCAAAAGGACAGCCCAGGGAGCGGGGCGATCAGTGGCCGGCGAGAAATCTAACAATTCCGACCGATTAAATTGCCTTTCAAAGTGCTCAGCCCAACGCTCCAAGCGTTTTGAAAGCTGTGGATAGGCTGTCCATTCTCGTCACGTAGAGTTTCACCAACCCCAGGTCTCATGCTGCTCGTCTCGCTTATCAGCCAGAATAACTTGCGATAGCTACCAAGGTCAGCGGACATTTCCATCTCTGAAGCACGATGAGACCATCAGGATTCGCGGTCTCTCTTCAGGCTAGCACGGAGTTTTACCCGGAGCTCTGTGCGAGCTTCATTGTGTTCGCTTCCAGCCGGAATATACCGGCGAGCATCGATAAGTTCCAGCGACTGAAAAGCGGCACAGTCTCCATGTTGGCGATCAGACTTACTCGGCCGGTGGCCGAGTGGTCTGCACGTTTGCTTTGCAACCATAAGGTCACCAGTTCGAATCCGCGTAGGGGTGGGCGTCCTCGCGGTATACTCAGCCCGCGCGCGACTGGTGGTTGTCGCGCGGCAGCGAAGCGCCGTTACGGCGTACAGCTGAGACATTATTATTATTGGTAGTAGTTAGGACTGGTGAATATGAGACCGGTGAACTTCAACTGCATTCACTGGGCGCATATTCTACTCGCATGGTAGATTACTTTGATAGATCTTCAGAACAGCTGGCTTCGCCGGTTGTCTGGTGTCAATGCGGTCACAACATCGCATTGGGCGTCCGCAAAGGGCATCCGCAGGTCAGTACATACATGTGCATGATCGGTGTCTACGCATGTGCCCCAAATCGAGAGACAGTTCTGGACGCAGCCTCTCCATCGGTAGCTTATCGTAATGTGTTCGATTTGCGTCTATGGCTGCGTCGAGGTTGGTTGGCGCCAAGTCACCGTCTAGCGGTTGCTGTGTCCGAAATTAGTGGTCGCAAGAAATAAGCGAGGATCTTCACACAAATGAAGTAACCGCTCACCGTGATCATTTCGAGAGCTTACACCATATTGGCCGCCAAGCTGAAGTTCATCAGTGGTAAATTTCCAACTTCAGCCTCCAGATGCACAGCCAGCAACACAGTGTTCGAGCAGCTTCTGTTGTGAAAGAGCTCGTTCAATTAGCGATAGAAGTCGTTCTTTTACCTAATCATCGCCATTGGTTATAATCTGTTCACCAGACGCGCTTCCGAAATTGACACTACTACTCTACAGAATTTCTAGCCCAACCGAAGGAAAAGCGGAACGTCAACGTGCTTGACAACGTATATTCAATGTCAACTAACACTGTACAACTATTGTGGACCGTGGCTGTATTTATAGGTCTCTTACTGACCTTCGACTTCTAGAATTGGAAGGTCAGTTACGAAGGTTAGTGGTTACTTATATCCTTTTCGAATTTGAAAAGCACAATTAGAAGACGAAGCTCGGCAGATGCATCGTCTCATCAGTGCCGATAACGATAACCGGTAACTTTATATAAGAGTTTGTGGGTACAGACATACATACAAACGAAGGAGAGAAAAAAAGGGTGTCTTTGTTATACAACCAGGGCAGCCTGAGGCTGACCGATAATTGTTTTTGAACACAAAGCGCTGGCTTAATCCGATTAATGGTAATAGCCTCGGCAAATCGGAGACGGGAATTAGTATGGCGAAGCAGGATTCGAAACGCCTTGTTGACCTCAATTCGGTGACCCGATGTCAATAAGTGCCTGCCGATCGAAGACGCTGGCGGCCTGCGTACACATGTAGTCTGAGTTGGGCTTGCTTGCTGAATAAGTTCGCACTGAACCCATTTTGGTACATGCTCCTTAATTCGGGAACTCAGTGTTCTATTGATTCTGCCAATGTAACTATCCCCGAGGTTACATACAAATTGATATACGCAGTGGGAGTTGGCGCCAATAGGCTGAGGTTCCTTCAGTAGAGGCAACAGTAGGTTATGAGTTCGGTCGATGATTACAACTTCGGCAGCGCAGAAAGTGCTCTTTGTGGAGGAAATCAGACGTCTCCTGGTCCTCAAAGAAGCAATGTCACCCTTAAAAGGCAGCTCCAAGAATACCTTTTTCTTAGGCACGGTAGGTATAGCAACTTTCATTTCACGAATTTCACTGTGCTTCCGGATGAACTTTCGAGGGTAGCCATTGGCAATTAACGTGTTGGTAATTAATTCTAGTTCGTCGGCTAGACAATCACTCGAACATATTCGTCTGGCGCGACTAAACAGGGTCCTCGCAAGCGTTCGCTTGTGCCGCATTGGCGTAAAGCTGCTAAAATGCAGATACTGTCCCGACCATGTTGTTTTTCGATAGACAGACCGTTTTACCAGTCCGTCCTCCCTGCGGCTGATAAGAACATCCAAATATGGAAAATTACCGGTTATCGTTATCGGCACTGAGACGACACGAAATGCATGCATCTGCCGAGCTTCGTCTTCTAATTGTGCTTTTCAAGTTACTAAAGGGAACTAACTGTTTTAAATTTCTCAAACGACGAATTCCCCTTTTCGAATTGTCAGGTGATTTTTAGTCACTTGCAGGACCAGAACATTCCGGAACGTTCAAAACCAGTTAATAATCGATTAATCGCTAAAATAGTGGATTTTATATGCAATTCTCACTTTCTCGCAGACAGACGCTTGAACCAGCATTCCGGCGTCTTTGAGGGTAGTGTTAGATACCATGTCCGAAGCGGTTTCATTTGTGTGGTCGGTAACCATCTGGACGGGTGGCATAATGATTGCTGCCACAAGTTGAGCTCAAGCGTAAGCGATCAAATCTGCGTTGTTGGAGACCGGCCGCGTCAACATGAGCAGACTACTCTTAAGGCGAAGATATGACAGCATCGTGCACGAGCGCTCTACATCTAGCAGCCGGGTTTCAAGAGATTCGTCTCTCGTACGAAAGGCCCCGCGGACTTTTGACGGCTGCAGCAATTGGCACAACTGAAAAGCAACTTTTCGCTGGAGGACAGCGCTGCGTACTGCGAATTTAGGTCCGTAAGAAGCTGGTGTTACCATCGGTTGCAGACATCACACTGCGTACCGCCGGAATCGTCATTTGCTGGTGTATTGCAGCTTGAACTGCCACAAAGTGCGATAACCTGGAACAACAGCCTCGGTACATTCAGAGTCCGACATAGTGAAAAACAGAGTGGAATAATAACACGTATACGGCAGTTAAACGATCTTAATAAAAAGTCAAAAACTGGGTGCAAACCGGGATTAAAACTGGGAAAAACCGGAAAAATTAATCAGTAAGCGCCAAAGACGCTTTGACTAAAACCGCTTTAAGCGATCCAAGATACCTTGGATCAGAGGAAATTTGACAATAGTCAAATTCCGTTACAAGCGTTAATTCAAACACTGTTTTCCACAATATTGTAGCTAAAAATCCCGATCACTGCAGCACGACAAAAGTCGGGTTATCGCGTAATACTCACAGAGTAGAGAGGAACACTTGCTGGATGACCTCCAGTGATTCAAGCTCTGCGTCAACGAGATGCTTTCAACTGGTTTCCCTGGTGTCACTAACAGGAAGGAATGGGGAACTTCCCTGTAGATACGCGAAATTCGCGACCCCGACTACTTCGTGTAGTCCTCTCAACCCCGGAGTAACGCAAAGCACTAATGCGCTTTGCATTCAAATTCAAAGGTAGCAATAATAGCGTTCAGCCGGACCTCCACTAGCTTTACTGTCATGATAGCGAGAAAGATGTTGAACATCTATGTAGCGATATCTCAATGTAGGACATGTCCCACTGACACAGTGTTACCTGTAGTAGTGAGCTAGCCCAGGTGAAAAAAGTAAAATATTTACAAGCATTAAAAAAATCTCCATGTACTTACGATATATTTTTGGATGAACCACATGGAGTCCTTCACCAGCTCCGCCGCCTATTACGGATGGGCATCGTTTCGGAAGCTGCAGTTGGTGGATTAACGGGCTCCATGGGTTATAATCATTGAACGATTCCTTCGTCAGTTTCCTGTGAAGGCTTCGTCGAATCTGGCATCCGCAAAGTGCGCGTCCAGGAATCGTTTGAATTCCGACACCGAGTTCGCTTCTACTATCCGCGAGGGCAAACGGTTCCACATGTTCACCACTCGCCGCTCAAGACACAAAGGATGAGCTACCCACTTGAGGTCAGGGACTACCAGTTTGTACTGGTGACCTCGTGTGCTGCTTGACGCACGGACATGGAGCAATGGCCTCAGCATCGGATAAGCACCCAGATGCAATACCCGATGGGTCATGATGAGGTCCACTCGCACGCGGCGGTATGCTAGAGTATACAGACCCAATTGTCTACATCTTTCTTCATACGGCACACCCTGAAGACCGGGAATGAGCCGTGTGGCTATGTGTTGTACTCTTTCGAGCTTGTGTATCTCGCCTTTCGTCAACGGACAGTAGGCGGGTGAGCCGTATTCTAGCACCGGTCGTAAAATGGATGTGAAGAGACGAGTGGCAATCTCTTTCGACCAGGTGCAGAAGCTACGTTTCAGCGCCCACAGCGAACGCAATGCTGTGCGATACGTATTGTCCGTGTTTTCCAGTGACTTCATGTCGTAACGATGTATAACGCCAAGGTCTCTGACGCAATGCATCGGGTGTAGAATTTGGCCGTCGAGAGTGTACGATCGGCCCGCTCCACCTTTACCGAGGCACAGAAGTAGCGATTTTGCCGAGTTGATAGGCAAACTTACTTCGGCGGACCACATGGAGAGGTGGTCGAGGTCCTGCTGAAGTATGTCAAAGTCGTCCGACGTATGGATCACCCTCCATAGCTTCAGGTCATCCGCGAACAAGGCACACGGCGACCGAAGGAGATTGGGCACGTCGTTGATGTGAATCAGGAAGAGAATGGGGCCAAGCACCGTCCCCTGAGGAACGCCGCTCGTCGACGGGTACCAGTCGGTCAGGTGGCTGTCGACTTGCACCCTCCACTTCCGTCCAACTAAGAAGTCACGGATCCATTGGTGCAGCGAGCCTCCGACTCCGCACTCCCTCAGTTTCTGAAGGAGGATCTCGTGATTCACTCTGTCGAAGGCCTTACTGAAATCGACGTATACCACGTCGACTGACTTACGTTGGTTTACTGCTTGCAACCATTCATGCCATGTTAGCAGCAGGTTAGTGATGCACGAGCGGCCTCTCACGAAACCATGCTGTGCAGGCGTCAGGAGAGAGTTGGTCTCCAGTAGCTGGAGCAGTCTCTTCTTCACAATCTTCTCCAGAACTTTCGACAATACTGCGGTCAAACAAATAGGGCGGTAATTCTCTACTTTGCGTGTGTCACCGCCTTTTGGAATCGGTTTGACAACGGCGCATTTCCAGTCACAAGGCACGCAGCCTATGGACAGGGATCGGTTGAACAGGTCGGTTACAGCAGGTGAGATCACAGCTGACAAGGACTTGAGGATCAGCGGATGGAGACCATCCGGTCCAGCTGGCTTCGTGCTGTCTAGGCAGCTGACTAGCCCATGTACCTCCGCGACGTCGCAGATCAAGTCGGTTAGCTCAGTCGGTGCGGCGACGGCAGAGCTTGGCGCGCAGGTTTGGTTAGTTGCGAATACAGAAGCGAAGTGCGCCGCTAATGCGGACGCACGCTCGGTGCTTGAACTTAGTGGTTGTCCGTCCGAACCCACTAGCACCGGCACATTACCTGCAGACTTCAGGCGTCGCTTCACGTACGCAAATATGCGCTTCGGGGCAGTTTTAGCTGAGCAAGCAAGCTGCTCCTCAAACTGACGGCGTTTTCGCGTCTTTGTGCTGTTGCACAAGTTTCGTTGTCGCTTGTATGCCTCATAGTCATCGGCAGAGCCAGACAGGAGGAACGCATTCCATAGTCGACGCCGTTGTCGAGACAGTCGGTTATACTCTTTGTCAAACCAATGGGGTTTCATTGGTCCAACTTTCCGAGTCTTGAGGGGTACAAATTGCGCACACAATGAGTGCACTGACCCTTTAATGTTTGCCCAGCAAGTTTCAACGGATGAATCCTGTGGCATAGACCAATCAAGCTGATTGGCAGCTAGAATGAGGCCATCGAAGTCAGCTTTCCAATAGTTGTATGTTGGCGCCACTGGACGCACACATGGAAGCTGCAGGTATATAGTGGCCATAATTGTCGAGTGATCAATGGCCGCCATGGGCTCAAGAACTTCTATGTCATGCACTGTTTGTTCGCAGCTGGTTAGCAGCAGGTCCAGGCATGATGGCATTGAGCGCGGGGTTATGCGGGTGGGTTGCGTGATGTGCTGCACCGTTCCGGTTTCCAGTACCAGTTCGGAGAATCTTGTCTCCACTTCATTATGGCCAGGGAGAAGCTGAACTTCAGGCCATAAGATTCGAGGAAGGTTAAAGTCGCCAGTGAGCAGGAACTGCGGGCGACTCATTTGGTTTTGGACGTGTGTGAGCCAATCCAATCCGTTACTCAGTGGGCTACGATATGCCACACCCACAAGCAGTTCGCCGCGTCGTAGGTGGATCGAACACCACAGGTGCTCACATAGACCGTCAATGCTTCGGTAGGTGCTCACGAGTCTCCCGCACAGGGTAGACCGGAGGTAAAGTAGGACGCCACCGCGGCTATTCGACTGTCGATCACAGCGGAAGCACGAATAGTCCGTGATCGCAATTTCATCGCTTGTCACTTCAGATGTCAACCACGTCTCAGCCAAACCAACCACATCTGGCCGACGTAAAGCAATGAAGCGGATCAGATCATCGTGCTTGTTCATTAAGCTGCATACATTAATGAACGCTACACGCAATCCGCGGTAGGAACCGCTGGGCGAGCTTGAAGCGTCATTGCTCTGTTTACCCGGATTCGGGGTATCCGGGCAACTGTGCGAAAGTTTACGATACGCAGGTTAGTTTCACCGGCGTCCGTGCGTCGTTTCAGTTCGATCATGGCAGACTTCAGCTGCTCTCGTTCTGCGGGATCAAGGTCTGGCCGGACATGGATTTTCATCCCCTTTAGGCGACCGAGACGGGACAGTACTAACCTTGGGGCAGTTTCGTCGGCGAACGCGATGCGCAGAGGCCGACACTTGCCATCAACTTGTTTCCCCAGACGAGTGACTTGTTTCACTCGTAACCCGGGTTCGCCAACATCCAGTAGTTTATCGGTTAGAGACTGCAAGAATTGCACATCATGGTCATAGCGTACCTGGGGACTGGGATCAGTCGACTCAGGTGCGTGGAAAATCATGACGTTGCATAGCCGTCCCCGTGGTGACTTGCTATCGCTTGGCTTCACCGTTTTCGGTACGGCCGGTTTCTCGGCTAGCAATTTCTCAAGTCGTGTTACCTTGTTTAGCACAGACTTTAGTTGTGACACTGTAGACGGTGATTTCGATTTGTTGTTGTTTACCGCCTTACAACTTTTCTTTTTAGGGGCCTGGACCCAGCCGGGTGGTTTTGCGAAGCCAGCGCTGGCCACGGCTGCGTAGGTCGCAGTTGCAATGCCGACAGACGGCTTTTTTCGGTTGCCTTGTGAACTATGCATTGGTGTGTCCGCTGATGAAGCGGAGGAGGAGTGGCTTCGATTGCGCACAGTATGGATGCATGGAAGAGTCACGGGCGGTAGTACGGGCGTCACTAAGGCGGCGTTATTATCTGTCTTTTTCGCCAAAGTCAGATTCGCCAGAAGGGATTTATCGTTAACAATAAGTCGGCATTTTTCACAGTGGAATGTTAGCGCGGAAGATGCCGTTCTTTTCAGGCATTCATAAAGATCGTGCTCAATGCCGCTGCACGTTGTGTGGGCCCATTCTTCGCACAGACCGCACTGCAGCGCTTTAGACCGAGAAGTGACATTTCTGCTGCAGCTCAGGCACTTAGATGCTGCTGCTGCCTCAAGATTAGGCGGGCGGCTGGTTCGCAAGTCTTTCCTTTTGTGCGTTTTCAAGTGATCTGTCGGAAATCAACTTCTGCCCTGGTAGCGTACGACCCAGCTTGGCTGGTCGTGCCGAGTTCCTTCGGGTAGCGCTTAGTAATGCGCGTAGCCTAAGGAATCAGGTACACGTGGTAGGTCTACTAGTAGACAAATCTAGTCTCGACATACTCGCTAGCACCGAAACACGGCTGTCCACGGATAGCACAGACGGTGAAGTATGTTAACCTGGCTACACTGCTTAGATGTGATCGCTCCGTTGGCCGCCAAGTCAGATGTGTCGCATTTTATGTGAGGTGTAAACATGACGTATTGAGGACCTGTGTCTTCCAGTCGCCGGATCAAACTGTTAAAGCCCTGTCGGCTATTCTGTGCACTTCCTCTGCTCAGTTTACAGTTGTAATGGTATATCGAAATTTTAGAAGTATCTCCAGGTAGGTTATTGAATTTATTCGTACTCCGGCTGCCAATAGGTATCTAATACTGGATGAATTCAACCTCCCTGAAGTCTGTTGAGATGATCTACCTTGCAGTTCGGCGGTGGGTACCTGCGGTTCGAATCTTCTCAAGCTAACGTTGCAACTGCGTTTGCATCAGATATATGAGCAACCACATTTCATCTACCATTGATCTCATTTTTGCGAAGTCACACGATTTCCTAAGTGACATTACTTACGGCTGTCCTCTAGGAGCCAGTGACCATGTCTGCATATCCTGTCGACTTGCTCTAACTAGGTATCATCAAGCTACCGCTGCAGCATGTCCAAATATTTGGCGGGCAGACTATAACTCAATACGGGACAAAGATTCAGTTTTGCGTTGTGCGATCACCGTGGCTGACACCGTTGAGACAGCCTGGGAGAACTTTAATGCATACCTCACCGTGATTTCTGCTCCCCACATCCCACTCATTAAGAGACGGGTGACACGGGCGCAGCCTCCTTGGATAGATCATACAGGTAAATAATTGCTCAGGAAGCGCTCTATGTGTTGGCGATTTTACCAAGCGGCTTCATCAACCGGCACCTACGAAAGCTATCGAGCGGTTAGAAATAAGTGTAAGCAACATCTTAGAACTCGTCGTCTTCAGTACGAGGAGAATTTGGCTAACGAAGCCGTAACAAATCCAAAGTTCTTTGCTTACGTAAAGCGACTTAACGGTACAAACTCGTCTATACCGGCTTTACAACGAGCGGACGGGATCCATGGGCATATCGACTATGATTAGGCTTGTATCTTTAGCGAACAGTATACTGGTGTCTTTTCTCTTGAGATCTCTTCACCTCAGGTTGAGCTGGTCCCAAAAGTCCCGGAGGATTCTTGCCTAACTGAAAGCAGCATATCGGAGACACAAGTCTTCGGGCTATTGCAAGTGCTAAGGCTTACCAATGCTTCTGGCCCTGTTTCAATTCATCCGACGCTGATGCATGAATTGGACGCTGAGCTAAGTGTCCCTCTGAGATGCATGTTTACCATATCGCTCGACAGCTGTGCCTTACCTTCGGAATGGAAGAAGGCAATCATCTGTCCGATTTTTAAGGATGATGACAGCTTTCTGCTCGTAAACTATCGGTCTGTCAGCTTGACAAGCGTAGTAGTTAAGTTGTTTGAAAAATTTGTCTGGGATTCGTTGGAGAATCAACTGATTGAGTTTAACCTTCTCAGTGCGGTTCAGCACGGATTCCGTGAGGGATTTTCAAGTCTGGCAAATTCACTTGTGGCTCGTGATAGCTGGGCCGAGGCAGTAAACAAACGTCACGCCATCGAGGTGCTTTTCGTTCACTTCTCGAAAGCCTTTGATATTGTCCCACATCAACGACTCTCATTGCAGCTGAGATCGTATGGGATACCTGGAGCCGCCCTTAAATAGGTCCCTGCTTTCCTAGAGGGGAGAGAGCAGTGTGTACGCGTGGGGTGTAAACTTTTGCCTAGACAAGCTGTTCTTAGTGGGGTTTCGCAAGGGTTCTGTGCTACGACCGTTGCTTTTCGCAGTTTATGTCCCCAGAATGAAGCAATGAGGTGTGGATGAATCCTAGCACCCATACCTCAATGCTCCACTTTAGGGATAGTTGGAGGAAGGCTGCTTGTAGAGGGTTCCGTATGATGTGGTTTATTCGCCGCTCCATCGGTGTGCAAACGGCCAATATCCTGTTAAGCTGCTCGCAGCTTTTGTGCGACCCTACTGAGCGAACTGTATCCAGGTTTGTCCACCTTGTATTGTAAGGGACAAAATGGAACTGGAGAGCGTTTTGCGAGTGGGAACACGTTAGTGCAGAGACTACGAGGGCATCATCATCATCATCAACAGCAGTACATCAGCCATTTGAACTGATGCTTCGCTGCTATACAACCATGAGGACCTATGAAATAAAGAATAAGAGGGAGAGAAGGGGGACTTACCTGAAAACCTTAATGCCCTAAGCAAACATTCAGGGTCAAGGCACCTACACCTTGTGTAGACAACATTCCGTCACAAACAGCTGGCTATCGTGAAAAGATAAGGCGGCATCGGTGAGACAGCTTCCTTGCGGCTTTCACTGCCCCGCATCATAATCAGCCATTATCCCGCAGATAACTCAGCACCAAACATACTTTAAACAGGCAATCCGATTAGAAGACGGCAGCAGACGCGCCACTGGTGTTGGCTGCGAGCCATGTCCTGTAAAGTCTCGAGCCAAGCATATGGTGAGGCACGTGGACTTCAACCCGGAAGGCGAGACGGACCAACCGCACCCAGTTTGGTCGTCAGTGACTTCATTTCCCGCTGCCAAGTCAACTTCTGTCCACATCGAGCCTTGCGCCTTCCTACACCTGGTAGACTGAACAAAGCCCTCTAAGGTAAGCGGTGACCAGGCATGCGTAGCACGTGCCCGAGCCAACGCAACTTATTCAGTGCTATCTGTTGTTCTAGGGAGTTAGCATGATCATCACCACCTAGTACTCACATACGCACATCATCGTTGCGGACATGCCGGTGCCATCCGTCACCAGCAATGCTTCGCAAACCACGAGGATCAAAGACTTGAAGGCGCCTCAGATCTTCAGACCGAAGGGGCCAAGTTTCACTACCATACAGCAGAACGGCCCTCACTGTGGCCTTGTATACACCGCCTTTCAGACGGAGGGAAACTCCCTTCTGTCGCCAAAGATGACGCAGGTTCAAGTAGGCAGCTCTGGCCTTTGCAATGCGTGAGCTCACGTCAGTTTCTATGCGCCCATCATTGCTGATGCAGCTGCCAAGATAAGTGAATTGATCAACCACCTCGAGTTCCTCGTTAGCAAGCGTCAAGGGGTCATCAAGTGGCTGGTGGTCCTGCAGCAACACTTTGCACTTTGAAGGTGCGAAGTGCATACCAAATAATGGGACCACTCTGGATAGGCTATTCAGGGTTAATTGTGCTGCCTCAACATTGTCGAAAAGCAAGACGATATCGTCCGCATAATCTAGATCAACTAACCGTTCACCAGGCAGCACTTCAACAGCTACATCGTGAGATTCCGCAAGGAAACACTCCATGATAGAATCCACGACGAAATTGAACAAAAATGGGGAAATCGGACAACCCTGTCGAACGCCACTTGTAGTCGAAAAGCTATCCGATAGGGCACCATAGACCCTGACGCGGCCTCTAGTGTTCGAGTATAGAGCACGAAGGATGTTCACATATTTCGTGGGAACACCTTTTCGCGCAAGTAATTCGAGCAGAATCGATCGATCGACTGAATCGAACGCACTCTTGAAATCGAGGAACTCAGCTATTGTCGGTCTGCGGTATGCGTGGCGCTGCCCTAGCACCTGCCGCAAAGTAAATATATGGTCTATACAGCCACGTCCTGGGCGAAAACCGGCCTGCTCTTCCCTAATCCGAGATTCCCGTTCTGCAGTGAGGCGACGAACGATAATCGAGGCCAGTAATTTTGTCACAACTGGCGTTAGGCTAATACCCCTGTGGTTCGCACAGTCTGTGCGACTGCCCTTCTTGTATATTGCCACTATAATCGATTCGCTCCAATTAACTGGCACACTTCGTTCCAGATAAGTTCGAATAGGGAGGTCAGTGCTTTGCAGAGTACCTCACCTCCATCCCTAAATAGTGCAGGTGGGAGGGAATCCGGGCCACCGGCACGAAAACGATTAACGGCTGTGATCGCGTTTCGGACCTCGGCCTCCGACGGAGACTCTAAACTAACCGTCCATGGCACGTCCTGCAGCACCTGCAGGAAGAGGTCCGGGTGCAGGGGGCCAGCTGAACTGATCTTCAAAGTGTTCAGCCCAACGAGCCATACGACGCTCCTTATTGTGTATCAGCGCACCCGCGCTGTCCCTGATTGTCTCACTGACGCCTGGTTTTCTCGGACCAGTGTTGCGGATTAGCTGGAAGAGCTTCCGGTAATTGCCTACTGCTTCTGCCTCCTCCATTTCTTGAGCCCGACTGGTCCACCACGATTCCTCGTCAGCACGTAAGCTCCGCTTTACTTCACGCCTAATAGCCCGTCTGGTCACATTGTGTTCAGAACCAGCCGGGAGGTGTCTTCTAGCTTCCAACAGGTTCACGGACCTCTCGGATATCCAGTGACTGGTGCGGTGACGACTGATAGTGCTACAAACAGAT